CTTTCCCTCCCTCCCTCTTTCTTCTTCTCTTACCCCTCTTCCCCCAAACACTCTTTATCTTTCAAAATTTCTTGGCATGATATTAATGGCTTGCTCATATATGTAAACCTTAATTTTAAAGTCATTTAATGAAAATGATTCGAGTCATTTAAAAAGAATGGTGCGGGGCTTCCCTGGCGGCGCAGTGGTTGAGAGTCCGCCTGCTGATGCAGGGGACACGGGTTCGTGCCCCGGTCCGGGAAGATCCCACATGCCGTGGAGCGGCTGGGCCCGTGAGCCATGGCCGCTGAGCCTGCGCGTCCGGAGCCTGTGCTCCGCAACGGCAGAGGCCACGGCAGTGAGAGGCCCTAGTACCGCAAAAATAAATAAGTAAGTAAGTAAGTAAATAAATAAATAAATAAGTAAATAAATAAATAAATAATGGTGAGGATGGGGATCCTGATACTGTTCTTGGGCAAACTTTTTGGAAGGGAGATGGATTCTGTCAGGAGGAAGTTGCAAGCATATGAAACTAAGTTGCTCAGCTTCAGATTTTTGCTGCTTACCAGAGAAATCTCTGTCAGCTTCAGCTAACTCTGTGTATCTTCCCCAACTCTCCACCATTGTCAGGAAATGTTGCAAGCCAACTATTACCTATCCTTTTTTTTTTCCTCTCTCTCTTGAGAGCTTGCGTTTGGGTTAATTAATGGCCCTTGAAAACAGATTTTAACTTTTATTCCTACTTTATTAAGGAGTATTTTATTTTTTTAGTTCTGCTGTCATCATCTTGTATTTTTATGATGCGTTCACATTTTCTAAGTTTACTTTTATCTAAACTATCCACATTCAGAAATTTTCTTTTTTAAGTAATTATAGTGGGCATTGTTATTTCCATTCAATAGAACAGGAAACTGAGGCTCAGAGATTTAAAGTGACTTTCTCAATTGATTTATATGGTGACTGGAACCTTTAGTCCCAAACTGCCCATTAGACAATGCTGCTTATATTGCGAAATTTTTTCTCGTCTGTCACTTCTTTTACTTTAATTAAGCTGTTGTAGACATTCATTAGACATTCCTAGATGAACTTCAAGTCGTAATGATTTAATGTTTTTGTAAGGCGTTTCATTAACAGGCTGTTTTTTGTTATTGTGGCAGAAAGACACAAGACATAAAATTCACCCTCCCGACACATTAACAGGCTTTTGTTTTCTGTAATATGTGTTGCTTTTATAGTCCTTAATTTTCTCATATAGCATCTTTCACCATTCTGTACCCTTTAATCTCTACAAATACTTACTTTTTCTCTCCACACCTCCCTCTTAGGACTTAACATTTGTCTAAGGCAGTCTTACTGTCTTTATCTCTCCATTTTTCTCTTTTAAAACTTTCTATAACACTCTTAAAAGGAACTTAAATATGTTGACACTTTGCACAAAGAACTTTATTTCTCAGCTTTTTCCCCTCATTAACCTAGCACTTAGAAATTGAGAATGCTCACACATTCCTTTTATATTATTCTACCATTTCTGTGGCATTTCACCAATGTGCAAGACTGCACATGAAGGTATGCTTAGGAAAACTTGATGAACACCCATATTAGTACATCTAATTACCATCATTTCATGCCTATAATGTGCAAATGGTCTGATGAAAAGCAGCAGTCTTGTTCCTGATCCTATCCAAGGAACTAGAGCTCTGTGCTGCCAATAGTGAGTGCAGTTTCCATTCAGAACTCTCCTCGACGCCCTTTTTTCTGTCTTTGCTGAAGTCTGTGTCCCCTAATAACTTTCCAGCCCTCTCTGTCTTTAGTGCCAAGTAAAGAAAGTATCTGAAATCCAAAATTAAGAAGAGAAACATTACAGGAAGAAATTATTTTAAGGATAATTTAAATAATCAGATGTTTATTAGAGGATGATTTCTGCGTTCTACAGGGGTTGGTGATAGTGGAGATGGCTTTTTATGTATGGCTGTTTTGACTGAGACTTATGACTATCAAATTTACTTGCTACTCAGTTGTCAATTTAAAAAGCTTTTCTTGAGTGCTTGTTATGTGGCAGCACAAAGATGACTGAGGGTCCCCTCCATTCAAGGAAGCAGTGTATCATAAGGTAGGAAGAAATGCTTTGATAAAAAATTATTAAAGATTCTGTAGTGTGCCATGTGAGGACAGTCCAGAAATGAGTTTGCTTGTAGGTTTCTAGGCAAATTCTGAGAATCAGCTTCTCTGTCCTGATCTCCTGGAACTGGCCATTATCCACAATATGAAAACCGTACACATACCTGTGCTCGTATTACCCTTATTAGGGCTATTGCAGGAATGAGCCTATGCCTCTTCAGGTGTAGACCTGAAAAGTATACTTATCTGAAATATTTTTTTTTGGCCTATCATGTACTAAAACATCATTTAATCCAGATGAGGAGGGGCAGTTTTGTGATTTTGTGGCCAAATTTTTGACCTGTTGAAAAAGGTAAATTTCATATATGTGTGTGTGTGTATAATTTAGCTGTTAACCAGCTCTGCTGTAGAAAAGGAGGGCATAATGATACTTAGCTGCTCTCTTATTCATGGGGGCTGAGGGCTATCTTACTCAGCTTTATTTTATTCCTTGCTGAATGAAAACTAAGTTGGCTATGAGGAGAAAGAGCCAGCATTGGTGTTTTACTGATGCCAACTATGACTGCATAAAGCTTTATTAAACAGGGTGTGGTTTGGTTGGGAGTTTTGTCTTTATTTTGAGTATGGAGTTTTAAGATTAGTGTACGAAAACAGGGTTCCAGCATTTCATGCAGCCATCTTTCGACTGGTCTAAATATGATTTAGTAGATACATCCAGAAGAAATGAAATTGATAAATAAAAGTTAAAATGAAAGCATTCCATATTTAAGATGTAGGTTTGTTCATAACTTCACAAAAAAGTGAAAAGCAATTATGAGTATTTTCTTTGCCAGAAGAATGTAAGTGGCTTAGTGTTTAACAAGGAAATGAAATGGTAATGGTGGCAGCATTTATTGAGGGCCTTCTGTGTCTGTCTGTATCCTGTTTTCTTCTCCTGTATTTCAGTTAGCTTCTTCTCAGCCTCTTTTACTCTATCCTCTTTCTCTGACTCTTAAATGTTGTTACTTCCTCTCTTTCCTCCTCTCTGAAGCCTCTCCCTGTGTGAACCCATCCGTTCCAAGTTGACATGCTCAACATGTTATCTCTAAGGACAGAACTCTCCTCAGAGCAACAGACCACCAATTAGGTGTCTCACAGGTATTTCAAGCTGACATGTTGGGAACTGAGCTCTTGGTTTTCCTGTAAGTACTTAGTCTGCCTTCTGCTTCCCTACTCTCTGGGCTTTTCTAGCACAGTAAGTGGTTCTCCCATCCCTGCACTCCAGAAAGAAACCTAGGTGACGTGCTTTATTCTAATCTTCCCTTTCTACCACATTCAAGCCTCCAGCTGTTCCCGTTCATTCTACTCCAGATATTTCCCAAATCTGCCTGTCCATCTCCTTCTCCATCTGTCCTCCCAGCCTAGTTTACCGTCACCTCCTCCCTCAGGTGCTCAAAGTCTCTCGCTTTTCTTGTTCCATTTTTGCCTCCCTCCCCCTTAATACTTTCCCCATAAGGCGCCACGTTTCATTTTCTTTATTAGATTATGTCATTCTCTTGCTTTAAAAAACATTCAGAAGCTTCACGTGGACATTATGATAAAATCCAAAAGTTTTACCTGGCTAAAGGACCTTGTGTGATTTAGCTCTTGCCAAGCTCCGCAGTTTTATCTTGTGCCATTCACAGCTTTCTCTCCTTTAGCCACACCTCTTTCCTTGTAACTCTTGAAGACTAAGCTCTTTCCTGCCTTGAGTCTTTGTACCTCTGCCTGGGGCCCTCCCATCCACCTCTCCATCCCACTCACTTAGCCCTTCACTTCCAACACACAGACACTCCTTGGCGACCTTCTTCTAATCCCGTACATCTCAATTTACTTAGAGGTAAATCCCTTTGCTGCTTTATCTGAAAGAGGTCTCTTCTCACTGTTCTTTAAAGATAACTTCCTTAGACATCCCTTTATCCAAAGGAAGTGTCTCCCCTCCATTCCTTAGAGGTAACTTCCCTTAATCTAAAGAAGGTCTCCTCTCCTGGTTCCTAAATAATACCTCTCAGCCAATTGTTGGTTCTTTCGTAGCACTTGTAAGAGTGACTAATTTTCTTGGCAAGTTTCTGGGTTTCTTCCCAAAGGGAATGTAAGCTCCACTGAGAGTAGGAACCAAGATTGTCTTATTCATCCTCATTTCTCTAGTGCCCATATCTGTGCCTTAGGAGAGGAGACACTCAATCCATATTTTTTTTCTGAATGAATAGAAACAACTAAAGAAAAGATCTCTTTTACTTAAAAATTTGACTCCTGATTATTTTGTCTTTTGCTAATTTTATCCTGTTAAGAAATTGAATAGTGCTTCTATTCTTTGACCAGGAATTGATTAGATTAATCCAGTGAAAAAAGACATTCGTTAGTCACTATTAAAAAAAAATTGAAGTATGTAGTTAAAACAAGATAAGTTTTCCCAATGGAAAAATGATAATATTTAAAATTACCATACTTTAGAATCATTTATTTTTTTTGTTCATTATTCAGGGTATGGAAAGTGTACAGAAAATCACAAAAAAAACAACAAAAATCAAGACAAAGGTCCCTGTCTCTAGCCAGCATACATTTTAAACAAATTAATTGAGCTATAATTGACATATAATAAACTGTACCTATTCAAAGTGTACAGTTTGGCCAGCATAAATTTTTAAATGACATGTAACCCTGAAGTTGCCTTATAATGTGTTACTAGGATGAGTAAACTATATTGAATAGTGTATGTATGTAAAAGAGCACCAAATGAATAATGAAGGTGGATTATGCTCTCAGTGAGTGGTTTTTAAAGAATATTTGTGGATAAAATCAAGAGAATGATTGCTCTTCATAAGTCATAAGATATTGTTTATGCTTTTGCCACTTAAAGTCTTGTCTTGCCTTTTGTATTTTAGCAGGATGTTTCTTCTGGTGGGAGCTCCCAAAGCAAACACTACCCAGCCTGGGATCGTGGAAGGAGGGCAAGTCCTCAAGTGTGACTGGTCTTCTCACCGTGGGTGCCAGCCAGTTGAATTTGATGCAACAGGTAAATGTTGATGCAGTGGTCCCTTTTCTTAATTTCTGTTATTTGATATTTTTCCCCCTTTGCCTCTCCCCATTTGAATAGAATTTTATTTTTTTAATTAATTAATTAATTAATTTATTTTTGGCTGTGTTGGGTCTTTGTTGTGGCGCGGTACGCGGGCTTCTCATTGCAGTGGCTTCTCTTGTTGTGGAGCACAGGCTCTAGGCTTGTGGGCTTCAGTAGTTGTGGCATGCGGGCTCAGTAGTTGTGCTCGTGGGCTCTAGAGCACAGGCTCAGTAGTTGTGGCTCACAGGCTTAGTCGCTCCGCAGCATGTGGGATCTTCCCAGACCAGGGCTCGAACCCATGTCCCCTGCATTGGCAGGTTGATTGTTAACCACTGCACCACCAGGGAAGTCCCTCCCCATTTGATATGTTTCAAAATATGATTTAATTTTTGAAAGTACTTGCTTTAGCTTAAATGTAACAATTTAGTGAAATAATATGTATAAGCACTTCAGATCCCCAGAGAAAGTTATATAAAGACAAATGACTTATTATATGATTTTTTTGTACAGTTTTGTGGCATATAAAAGCCTTAAAAATATACTGTGTTTCCACACTGCTTTGGATGTCTTCAACTTCCCTGATAATGTCAATCTGCAGTAGTCTGGGGAAAATCTGTTAAAATGTTTTTGCACCTCTTCTGAGAAAGGCTTTTGTCCTTTCTCTTGTCAGCAAAATTGACTCACTGACTCCTTAATCATGAAATAATCTAAGTCTTGAGTTGTGCTGTCAAAACCAGTTGAGGAATATTTTGTATTCAAGTAGATTTGGTTGACTTAAAAAACAAATTCTTATCCAAAATTTATTGGGAAAATAATATGTTATGGTTCTGATAACATTAAATTTTTATCTAACAGAGACAAATTCCAGTGTCAGATTGTGGTGGTAAGGAGGAAAATAGCATAAGGAAGATGACAAATAAAAAATAAGTTTTACATTTACATCAGTAAAATAAAATATATGTAATCCTGTATACATTTGCATTGATATATTTATCTACATTTGTGAAAGTTTAGAGACTCCTCAAAGAAATAGTGTGACATTCTTCTGGTACAATAGTTCTGCAAAATTTTTTACCAGTTTTGATTTGCTGGCTTTGACAAAATATTTTAAGATAAGCCTGAAGAAAATTAATATTTTTTTCCATATTGTTATTTTATGCTGGTTCTAAAACATATTGATTCTGGGAATTATAATACCAGTGAAACAGAAATCATGTTGTGGACTGTTACATTTGGTATCATGACCAGTACCAAATGAGTGTCGTTAAGCCAGTTCTTCATAGGGATTGGGTCACGTGTTTGCTTTTTTCCATTTGAAACTATCTACATTAAACTTTGTTGTTTTTTCCATATATGGCTGGCATTTGGAAAACCCCAAGAGTATGTAAATAGGCTCAATTTTACCACAAATAGAGAAATATACCTGTGATTCAGGATATTATGGGTCAGGGCATTTATATCTTCTAACAACATGTGAACACTAATAAAAAAAATGTTGAACTGTTCAGATATATTTCTGTATTCAACACCACAGGTTTTGTGCAGTGCCAGATAATTTATTACTGGTCTTTTTTGAAATTTGGCTTTAGTATTTTTTTTATTGAAAAAATTGCAGACAGTCCAAGAAGGTAGACAGTGAAAAAATAGGACTTGCGCACATTAGCCTGCTTAGAGGCAATCACTTTAAATAGTTTCTTTGATCTTCCTAGAATTTTCTTATTCCTATATATCTATCTGTATATCCTTAAAAAGAAAAACAACTCACAAATAGGAATATACTAAATATTACTATTAGGTACCTGACTCAGCCCCCGCCCCTCCCTGCCCAATATAATCTCTCGTAGCCATATATAGATTTACCTCATTCTTTGAAAACCACTGATAGTATTCTGTTTTATAGTATATATAGCCTAAATTATTTAACTCATATTTCCTGTTGATGGACATTTAGATTGTTTCTGTTTTTTTGTAATTTTAAACACTGCTGTAGTGAAAATCTTATACACAGGTATTTGTGCAAGTGTGTGAATATGTATGATAAAGTTCTAGCAGGATTTTTAGATCAAAGTATATGTATTGTTTTAATACTACAAAGCTACAGTAATCAAAACAGTGTGGTATTGGTACAAAAACAGACATGGATCAATGGAACAGAATAGAGAGCCCAGAAATAAACCCACACACCTACAGTCAATTAATCTTCGACAAAGGTGGCAAGAATGTAAAATGGGAAAAAGACAGTCTCTTCAGCAAGTTGTGCTGGGAAAGTTGGACAGCTGCATGTAAATCAATGAAGTTAAAACACACCCTCAAACCATGCACAAAAATAAACTCAAAATGGCTTAAAGACTTAAACATAAGACATGATACCATAAAACCCCTAGAAGAGAGCATAGGCAAAACATTCTCTGACATAAATCGTACCAGTGTTTTCTTAGGTCAGTCTCCCAAGGCAATATAAATAAAAACAAAAATAAACAAATGGGACCTAATCAAACTGACAAGCTTTTGCATAGCAAAGGAAACCATAAAAAAAACAAAAAGACAACCTACGGAATGGGAGAAAATATTTGCAAATGATGCGATGACAAGGGCCTAATCTCCAAAATATACAAACAGCTCATACAGCTCAATAACAAAAAAACAAACAACCCAATTGAAAAATGGACAGAAGACCTTAATAGACATTTCTCCAGAGAAGATATACAGATGGCCAGTAGGCACATGAAAAGATGCTCAACATTACTAATTATTAGAGAAATGCAAATCAAAACTGCAATGAGGTACCACCTCACACTGGTCAGATTGGCCATCATTAAAAAGTCTACAAATAAATGCTGGAGAGGGTGTGGAGAAAAGGGAAACCTCCTACACTCTTGGTGGGAATGTAAGTTGGTGCAGCCACCATGGAAAGCAGTGTGGAGGTTCCTCAGAAAACTAAAAATAGACTTACCATATGATCCAGCAATCCCACTCCTGGGCATATACCTGGACAAAACTTTAATTCAAAAAGATACACACACACCCCAATGTTCATAGCAGTACTATTCTCAATAGCCAAAACATGGAAACAACCTAAATGTCCATCAACAGATAAATGGATAAAGAAGATGTGGTACATATATGCAATGGAATACTACTCAGCCATGAAAAAGATTGAAATAACATTTGCAGCAACGTGGATGCACCTAGACATTATGATACTAAATGAAATAAGTCAGAAGGAGAAAGACCAATACCCTATGATATCACTTTTACATGGAATTTAAAATATGGCACAAATGAACCTATCTACAAAACAGAAACAGACTCGTAGACATAGAGAACAGACTTGTGGTTGCCAAGGGGGAGGGGGCTGCGGGAGGGAAGGACTGGGAGTGTGGGATTAGCAGGTGTAAACTGTTATATATAGGATGGATAAACAACAAGGCCCTACTGTATAACACAGGGAACTGTATTCGTTATCCTGTGATAAACCATAATGGGAAAGAATATAAAAAAAGGAATGTCTACATGTGTAGAACTGAGTCACTTTGCTGTATAGTAGAGATTGGCACAACATTGTAAATCAGCTATACTTCAATGAAAAAAAAAGTATATGTACTGTTTTGATAGAAATTGCAAATTATTTTTCACAGAAGTTTACACCCCTCCAGTGTTTTCTGACATCCATGCCAATACCATTTATCACCATATTTTTTATCTTTGTCAATTTTATATATCATATCATTATTCTATGTATTATATATGTAATGTATTATTATATTATTATATATTATATTAGTTTATATTCCTTTAATTAACAGTAAGACTAATCATCTTTGCGTTTGTTTGTAAGCCATAGCATTCCTTTTCCTCTGAGCCGCTTTTAATATATTTGCACATATTTTCTGTTGATTAGTGGATTAAAACAAATGAATCTCAGTTGATGGCACTCCATCCTTTTGGTTAGTTAGGCCAAAATTTGGAGTCATGCTTGACATAAAATCTCAGCAAGTCAAAGTCTAACTGCTTCTTTGTCCTTCTGCTGCTAACATCCTAGTTCGAGCCACCATTGTCTTTCACCTGGACTGTTGCCCTGGGCTCCTGAATTAGTAAAGGAAAGAGATGGCACACTTAAATTGGGATAGTTTGAGGAGCTTTTAGTAAGGGGACTATTTACAAAGTAAGTGGGCACTAGTTAAAATTTGGCCTCTAAGCCTGAAGGGAGAAAGGGAAGGGAGCAGTTACCAGAATCCAGGTAGTGGGGCGAGCCACGTGAGGGAACTGTGGCTTTTGTCAGAGGACAGCAGCCAGCCCAAGGTGACTGGAAAGAACACGGGAATAAAACCCTGGCCTCACTCTCCTTCCTCCCTTTCATCTCTGTGCGTGCTCCCCACTGGCTGAATCCAATTGGGAGCCAGCGTGCCCGGCTGCCCATGAGTTCACACTGGTCAGCGTCCTGGGCAGAGCAGGGTAGGGAATGGTGGTGAGGAGACCTGGAGGGGCAGAGGGAAGAGAGCTGGCACCCCCCTTGCAGTTCTCCCCGATTCTGCCCTGGGTACCCCCTGCTGTTTGTTCTCTAGAGCAGCCAGAGTGATTCTTTTAAAATATTCAGATTATGACACTCCCGTTCAGATTCCGCTAATGTCTCCCCATCTGTCCCGCAGTAGCTGAGAGGACTGAGTATTCCAGCCCACCATTTCTATCTTTACCTTCATCTTCTAGTGTTCTCCCCTCCTTCATGCTCTTCCAGCCTCACTGGACCTTTCCACCTCGCCTTCCCCTGGACTGTTCCCACTGCCTGGAGCGTTGATCCCTTCAGTGTACATTGGGTGCCCCTCCACCACCTCCTGTGGGAATTGCTCAAGTGTCATCTTCTTAGTAATGCTCTGACCAGCTTATTTAAAATGCCAGTTCCCCCTTTCCCACTTTGTGCTTCCATCCACTTTTCAGCTTTATTTTTTCCTTAGTAC